CCTCTTCCAACTACTGCAGTGCACATGTGCCAACCATAAATAAAGCTCCAGCCTCACCTCTAACCACTTGTGCTTGTCGCAATTTGTAATTCTACTTATTTAGTTAGGTAAACTATATTTGCACCTACCAATGTTCCTAACACCTGGAGTGCAAGACTTCTTAAATTTGTTAGGAAATTTATTACCAGCCTTTCAACTATTGCTTCACTTATTCAAAGCTTCTTGGTACCTCAAGCAAAACACTTCAAACAAAATTCTTTTGAGGTTATATCACTTAAATGTAGTAGAAAATCCTTTATAAAATATTTATGCAAATGTGCTCACCAGGAATAAATATGAATAAGTTTAATTAATGTACTCTGCACTTTATTTTAAATAGATTGCTCTTTTGTTCCTTAACATTTTGAAATAATAGTTTTGCATGAAAGGAGGTAATATGTGAATAATATTATAGTTAAATATGTTTTTAAGTAAAAAATAAAAGAAAACTTAATATTAAAAGATTTTTAGTAAAAATATGAGTAAGTTTTGTATATTGTTTTATATCAGATTTTTGGCTTGTTTTTTAAGTATATTAATAATTTAATAATAATATTAAGTGAAGTATTGTTCTTTTCAGAAATACTATATTTATATTGAGTTTTGTGTTTTAAAGTGCAAATTATTTAAGTTAATAATGAATAATGAACTGCTAATTTTACTTTTACATCACTTATAAACTTATAAAACTCATAATAGATAAACTTATTAGGTATACCGGTATGAAATGAGCGTTTTTTGGTGAAAATAAAACACTAATTATTAATAGGAAAGTAAAAAACATTTTATTCAAAGTATTGACCATTGCTTTCTACACATTTTGACCACGTTTCTGGCAATTTGTGGATACCACGCCAAAAAAATTGCAAACTAACCAGACACCCAATTTTCGACCTCCTTGTAGGAATCAAAGTGCTGCTCAGCCAATGCGTGTCCCATTGATGAAAACAAATGGTAGTCGGAAGGAGCCAAGTCTGGTGAATATGGCGGGTGGGGTAGCAGACACCAAGGCAGTCTAGGCCATATGCGATCACGGGCCAGTACAAATCACTGTACATATTTCTTAATAAACTTAATGGTTCTCTTTAATGGGATCTAAAAAAACCTAAGCATAAGCAAACTGGATTAAATGGAAACCAATGGATGGACAGATATTGTGTTTATCAAATTTGATTAATATTTTATATTTGTTTATTTACATGTATATCAATGGCTAAAAAATAAGAAATATAGAAAATTCATTTGTTTAAAAGTTAAATTTTCGAATTTTATTAACAAGCCTTTTAGTCTTTTTTTTTCTGTTTAAACTGGCCATTAACAATATTGCATCATTCTTTGAATTGGAACCAAACTCTAAGTTTGACATTTAAATCATTTTAATGTTTAAAAAAAAACTTGAAATAATGTTGTATTTCAATTACATTGAAAAAGTTTTAGAAGTTGTTATTTATAAGACTTAAAAACAACATAAATGCATTAAGACAAACCAGAACAACCGCAAAATATAAATTGAGTTATGGACTAAGTACTTGTGTTGAACAACAATGCGAAGCCAAAACAAACTAACTTTGATATCAAGAAAATTAAAAGTGAAATAAAAAAATTAAAAACTTTAATTTGGTTTAAAAAAAAAACAACCTCAATCTTGGGAGGTTCCTAGCTTATATCCGATAAATTGGAAACGACGAAATAAAATGCTTTTGTTACAATAAACAAACAATATTATTGTTAAAATAACATAAACTATTGTTTTCAATAGAGAGGTTTTTATCGAACAGTAGTGAAATTGCAACAACAAAAATTTTTTTTATTATTTTTAATTAATAAAATTTTTGACTGACCATACAGTTAATTCGAGTATTACCACCCATCATCAGTGGTCTTACAACTTTTTGTAAATATTTAATTATTCGTAAATAATTTTTTTGAGAGTGCAAGTACCAAGTATCGTACCCTGCCAAATTTGAAGTTCAGAATCGGTGTTCATTATATGCAACTGAACCCAAGCCGTAACTAACTTTTATTTTTTGTTAATTTGCTGTGAAAATTCATTACCAAATTCACTTGCTGTGTTATATGAAAACGAAATCATAAACCAGCTGTACAATAATTGAATAATAATTGGGGCAAGTGACCCCAAGCCGTAACTGATTTATATTTTTTGTTAATTTGCTGTGAAAGTTCATTAACATATTCACTTATTGTGTTATATCAGAACGAAATCATAAACTAGCAGTACAATAATTGAATAATAATAATAGTAAGTGTAGAACGGCAATACTAGAAATAGCTGTATGGTCAGCCAAAATTTCAATTAATTAAAAATAATAAAAAAAAATGTTGTTGTTGTAATTTCACTACTGTTCGATAAAAACCACTCTATTGAAAGTAATAGTTTATATAAATAAATTACTTTATTTCGTCAAAACAAACATTTAAACTTAATTTAATATAAAATTTATTCAGGAATTTAAACGCTAAAAAACAGTCCAAATCCACGAAGAAGGAACAATAGATTTCTAAGTACAAAATTTGTCAATCAAATAATAATAATAATGAATAGATGCATTATTTTATCTTTTGTAAGCATGATATTATGAATGATTTCGTGATGTGCTAACAACGAGGATTACTGGAGTTATCTATACGATTGTTGTGTGGTGACGGCTAGAAAAACTGAAGTATATTTTAATTGTATCCAACCAGCAATGCGTTACGAAGGAAATGCCTGTTGATTTAGAACATTAATTATAATTACTTTAAAATGCATCCCAGGGCACAGCAGATTTGAGGGAAATGAAAAAGCAGATGAACTAGCCAGAAAAGGTGCGGTCCTTCATGGAGCTTTTTCAAACTTAAAATTAATGAATGGAGAGAAAGAGCAGCTCAGACTGATTAAGATAATACAATTGTCTGCAGACAAGCTAAAGAACTTATGATGTGCCAAAAAAAGCCAGAACTAGGGAGCTACTTATGCTAAACAGAAGTGGCACCCGACTTGTCACAGGATTTCTCAGTGGGCATTGCGGAGTTAAAAAGCATCTATCGAACCTAGGTATTATTAGAGACGATAGCTGTAGACTTTGTTGCAAAGAAGAGGAAACAGCAGAACACATTCTGTGTCACTGTGATAGTCTCGCCAGACTCAGACTTAACCACTGCCTATCCACTTGTTACGGAATTAGGCAACATTTCTCCAAAGGACATAATGGCGTTCTTAACTGCTACTTGACTAAGGAACTGAAGTGGGTATGTCACAATAATCCCCTCAAAGGATGCAGTGACGTGGTGACAAGTTTCCAATGCATCTTAAAATCTAATCTAATGTAATCTACTTTCACAGATATATATATATATATCACACCTATGTTTTTACAAGTATATACTTTATCAGATATTACTTGTT